AGCCGCTGACCGATTGTAGAATACGGATGGCATTAGCGCTGGCACATCTTGCAATCTGAGCATTGCTACAAAAATGAGTGACCTCTGAGCTGACTGACTCGTTTTCTTACCCAACGCTCGCACTGTATGCCAAGCAACCTCTTCTCCAAGTCCACCTGCGTGCCCCGTTTTCCCATAGAATACCATACCAGCATCGCGGCGCTCTGGAAGTTCCTGCTTCCCCAAGAAAAACGCATCGCGGGTCCCTGTTCCCGTGCGTTTTACACCCCCGCGAGTCCTTCTTTCCCTGCAAGAAAAATGCATTGGTTTTACACCGCACCGCGTTCGGGTTATTGCACGTGTTACACCATGCCGGGTCCCTGCGTGTCCCGTTTTCCCTGAAAGCCGATAATCCGATAAGCAACTCCTGAAACGCAATGAGCAGAACCGTAACAGTCTCCAAGGGCAGCGTTGGGCCCTTAGGGAGTCGCAGTGGATCCTCAAACAAAAAAGTCAGGAAATTGCGGGCATTTGAAAAGCGAAATGAAGCTGCTCGCTGAATGGGCCGACACACGGCACACATCAGTCTCCAAGGGCAGCGTTGGGCCCTTAGGGAGTCGCAGTGGATCCTCAAACAAAAAAGTCAGGAAATTGCGGGCATTTGAAAAGCGAAATGAAGCTGCTCGCTGAATGGGCCGACACACGGCACACATCAGTCTCCAAGGGCAGCGTTGGGCCCTTAGGGACTCGCAGTGGATTCCTCAAACAAAAAGTCAGGAAATTGCGGGCATTCGCAAGGCGAAATAAAGCTGCTCGCTGAATGGGCCGACACACGGCACACATCAGTCTCCAAGGGCAGCGTTGGGCCCTTAGGGAGTCGCAGTGGATCCTCAAACAAAAAAGTCAGGAAATTGCGGGCATTTGAAAAGCGAAATGAAGCTGCTCGCTGAATGGGCCGACACACGGCACACATCAGTCTCCAAGGGCAGCGTTGGGCCCTTAGGGACTCGCAGTGGATTCCTCAAACAAAAAGTCAGGAAATTGCGGGCATTTGCAAGGCGAAATAAAGCTGCTCGCTGAATGGGCCGACACACGGCACACATCGCGGAAGGGCCTGCAGCAAACAGGGCGGACCTGCGGCTTCCAAAGAAGACTGTACCGCAATCGCGGGTCCCTGCGGGTCCCGTTTTTCCTAGGGAATACCGCAATCGCGGGTTCCCGCGGGTCCCTGCGGGTCCCTCGTTTCCTAGGAAAAACGCACATGCGGGTTCCTGCGGGTCCCTGTTTCCCTGCGTTTTACACCACACCCCGTTTGGGTTATACAATGTTAATTAACGGAAGGTGTGTGACGCCCGGGGCGGGCCAGGCAGATTGGAATAACACTGTAGCATGGACTATCGTCCAAATGGTGTGTAGCCTGCCTCTAGTACTTCGCACTCGCAGTTCTGCGTTCCATGCTCGTACTATCAAGAGGAAACCGGATCCGGATCCACATCCACCGGTGCCCGCTGTTCTCACCGCAAAGATCTTCCACAGTTGATGTGGCCACCTTGGGTGAAACTGGAAGTTACACTCTCTGGTGTGATGCAGTCACATTGGGTAAAACTTCATTGGGTGAAATTTCAAATTACCCTGTACGTTTTGTGTGTGACCAGGATGGGTGAAACAGGAAAAGCATCATGATTCTAAGAAAACGAGCATCATGAGCATGAGTTGCAACGTACGTTCAGGTTCAGATGGCCGCCATCCCTCGTTCATGGGGTCTTGTGCTTGCACTTGGAAGCAAAACCGTGACAAATTAGATATTCGCGTTGCAAAAGAGCAAGTGCAAAGTATATGCTTCGACGACAGCTGTTATTCAATTGTCGATAAGTGGGAGCAGTATCTAAGCTACACCCGCCCTCTCTTCAAAGCTCAAACATGGTCTGCAAGGCCGCCATCCCTCGTTCGGTCTCGTGCTTGCACTTGGAAACAAACCGTGGTTAGAAGCCCTTCGCGTTGCATGCTTCACACTAAGAGAGCAATTGCAAAGTAAGAACCACGTTCTCAGACTCCAGACAATCCATGCTGCAAGCGTCCTGCAGATCTTGCGCATTGCCAATTTACAAGAATATTGCGAAAGGCTCCACATGCTTCGAGAATGAGCGCTATCCAACTGTCGTCTCTTTGGAGAAAGTGGCTTATGTAATGCACCGCGACAACAAAGCCACTGCTGGAGCAAGCTCGAAAAGTTCTGAACCTTGTGCACTGCACGCCCATTGACAGTTTAAGCAATACGTCAATACGTGTAACATCGAACGTTTGATAAAGTGCCAATAAACGTTATCCTAACTGCCAATGAGCGATGACAGCACCCAACCGGAGCCGATGAGAAAAGCCGCACCCAGCTTGTTTCCAGATAAATTAAATTGCTAAAAGCACTTCTCCGCCTGCAAAGTGCGCAGCTTGAAAGAACCTTGTTTGGAAACTGGGTGCAACGTCTCAAATGTTAATTTAAAAAGAATCTTCAAATCCCATGTCTACCATTTCACATGGTCAAAAACTTCCAAGAGGCGTCTGCTATTGCAACTTTGGCAGCAGAGGACCCCGCAAGGCAAGGCACTCTCTGCAGGTAGCGGATACCCGGCTGAGAGTTCTAAGTGGCTGTTGCGTGTACAAAACTGCGTAACAATTGAGGCACGGTGCTTGCTCTCTGGCAAGCGCACGGCAGCTGCAAAATCATAGCGCGGCATCATCAAAAAATGCATGTTACAACAACACAGCAATGTTTCGCTAACGTTTAACTCAGCATCACAAACAATGCTTTTAGGCAAGGTGCAAGAAGAGCTAAAATCTGAACCCCCCTTCATCCCCCCCCTTCAAACTCCCTTCAAAGCCCCCCTTCAAGCCCCCTGAAAAGCCCTTCTTCAAAGCCCCTTTCAAAGCCCCTGAAAGTCCCTTGGAAGCCCCTCAAAGCCCCTTGAAGCCCCTCCTCCAGTGGCAGGTTACCAATCCGCAATGGCAGTCTTATCTAAATGTGTCTGGCAATGCAACGCAGGAAGCTTGACCGGAATGGCCGGGCCAGCCAGAAAAATCTTAGCGGCTACAGTTCCGATTGACGCTGCTGACTGTAAGGGTTCCAGCTTCCGAACTTGAAATGCGTAAGAGACATGTTTCTTGTTTTTGGTTCCTTGGAAGATTGCGGTGTGCTGGCAGTCAAACGTGCTGCTAATGCTGCTAATAGCGTAAAAACCATGTGTAACATCCCTTCGACAGGCCGCTGTTGCCGACTCCAAGCTTGGAAGCGCCGAAAGGTATTATGCTGCTCCTCCCACATGTTGGCTCTATGTAGCACTACAGTTGCACTCTGCTGGCTGCAGCACCATTAAAGGCAAGCAACACAGCTGCTTTGGACAAGTTCCGACCTTCCAAACGGTCTCTACCAGACGCCTCAAAGTCAACACAATCAATAGCACAGCTGACAAAATTCAGCCGCTGCGGGTGCAGAAATCAAACTTGCGACTCCAAAAATGGGGCTGTCTCGTGGCCCCAGAAAAGGAGCCGCGAAATGCAGCCAACCTTCTTTAACATATTTTGACCATCAAACAATTTTGTGTAGCTTCTTCTTCTTGGTGTAAGTGAAATTATGTGGAGCTTGTAATTGTGTTTCACTGAGTTTGCTGTCCAAGTTGCGCTGCCTTCCTTTCCCGCATAACTATGCAGCTTTGAGATTGTACAAAGACAGAGAATTTTTCCAGATGTAACTCTGGCATCTCTGAACAGAGCAGATCAAGCCATGTTATGCAGAGTTGTGGTGTTAAGAAGGTGTCGGAACAAATCATACGGCGGGCTGACCGTTTGGAATTTGTGCACAATGCTTAACTCCAAAAACCCCTCATGCACGACATGGGTTCACCTATCTTGGCAGTTTTTTTTTGCTCTTTTAGCAGAAACCATTTGTTCATTTCTTGCCTCTACCTTGCTTCTGGTTGCATTTTGGTGTTGCAGGAATGGCTATTGCGTCCCTCAAACATTCCGAACTGTGCTTTTTGCTGCCAGAAGTTGCGCCTCTACTGTAATTTCTTTTTGTGTACAAGCGTCAAATCAGATTTTTTTCAAAAAACTTTTTGCATGCAAACGCACTGGATACGATCCATTTCAGAAGAAACTCAAGAAGGATGTGTGTAAGATCGTCAGCGTCTGTAGTCGCTTGTAAAAGCACTTTCGCTTGTGAGTGTTTTGCTTCGGGAACGGTTTCAAGGTTTGGTTGGGAATCTTGATGATCCCAAGGTTTGATATAAAACCTTCGGGTACATTTGAGAATCTTCGATCTCAAAGTGTACCTTAGTTGCTGTTGAGGACTTCTTGATGGATCCTCAGTGGTATGTTTATATCCCACAAGATTTACTTCGTAAGTCTCTGTGTGGTTAGAGCCCAATACGCTAAAATTCGTTTGTTTGAATTCGTTTCCACACTTACGTGTGAAGTCTGACGCACTCCGTGAACTTTGGCTCAAGCTGAGTGAAAAAGACTTGCAGCTGTCCGCTGTGCCCGTAGGGACGTGTTTTCCGAGGAAAAAGGTTTAGGAGGGACCTTAAGTTTTTCACGTGGTAGCGGAGCTTGTGCCTTGGAGGACAAGTCCGTTTTGGTGTCCAGAGGAACAGAACGCTGTGTGTGTGTGAAGCAGGATGTTGAATACACCTCACACGAGTTCTAACTCGCGAAGTCGAGAGGATAGAACTCGTGGGTCTTCGGTACCTGCAGCTGTGGGAAGTGGACCGTCAAGGACGGGAAGAGATAGAAGTCCACCCGCTCCGTTGGGGTATGCTCCGGTTCCGCGAGGTAGAAACCCGGTTTCTAGAAGCCCGCCGGATGACCCAACACGACCTAGCTTTGTTCCGTTTGGACAGCCGAGTGTGCCTCTCAGGACACCAGTAGTTCCACCTTTGCCGGCTGCTGCCAGTAGCAGTGTGTTGCCACCGCCTCCTGCGGCTGTGTTTCCGAGTGCCCAGTTGGGAGCACAGGTCCAAGGTTTGGAGCAAATGATGCAAAAGATGGTGCTGCAACAGCAGACCTTTATGCAGACGGTGACTGCTTCATTTCAGCAGCAACAGCAGTCGATGCTGCAGCAGTCACAGACGTTTATGCAGACCATTGAAACATCTATGCAGCAGCAACTGCAACAGATGAGGCAGCAAGTTGCGAGTTCAGCGCCTGTGCCACCTACAGCGCCTGGATCTCCGGTTTTGGAGTCCTATCGGATAAGTACTCCGAGTCCGGGTAGGTCTCCGCCACCCCCACCACCAAGAGATGTTCAGGATGTGGAGAGAGATGTCTTCGCTAAATCCGACAAATGGCTGCCTAGTTTGCCTGTCATTGACTTTACGTCATGGAAGGATAGGATCTCCGAAGCTTTAGGCTTCCTCACCTGGATGGAGAAGCTGACCAGTTGGGTCGGTTTGGGTTCTGAGGTGTTCCCAAACGAGCTCATGCATGCTGTTCGAACAAAGGATGAAGGTGTCCTTGGTCAGGATAGGTTGACTGTTGAGCAGCAGAAGAGATCAATTAGGTTGTTGCACATTCTGCGGCAGACCTTTGCAGGCCATGATAAGAGTTCTTTGATTCTGCAGAACTATGTGGAAGGAGCGGCTTCGTATCAGCAATCGGGATTCGTGGCTCTGAGATTATTGGCGAAGGAGTTTTGCCTGAAATCTCGGTCTGAGTGTCTCTACTTCAGAGCACAGTTGGTCAATCAGACGGTGAAAGCGCCAACTATCCCAGAAATTGTGAGAAAGATTGAATCTGAGCAACATAAGTATTCGAAGCTGTTGAGCAGTTTGGATTCGGATGTGCATGCGCAAGGACTCGATTTGCAAGAAGCAGATTTGGTCATGGTGTTGCTTAGAAGTTTGCCCGAGAGGTGTCGAAGCTACTGCTTGCTTCATGGTGATAGTGATTCGTTTGAGGATCTCAAGCGGGTTGCTTTGAAGTATGAGGTGCAACAGCGAGTTTGGTCTGAAGGACCTGGTACAAAGCTGAATCCGTTCAAAGGTGATGAGAAAGGAAAAGGTGGTGACGAAAAGGGAACTCCTAAAGGAAAAGGTGGCAAGAAAGGAAAAACAGGCAGGAGCCAGAGTGCGTCCAGGGGTGGAGCTAAAGGAAACAAGGATGTGGAGTGTTGGAACTGTGGAAAGAAAGGACATTATGCTGCAGATTGCTGGGCTCCACCAAAGAAGGATCAAGGCAAAGAGAATGCAAAGAATAATGGAAAGCCCTCGCCGAAAGGTAAGGCAAAGGCAAAGGCCAAGGGTGGAAAAGATAAAGGCAAAGGAAAAGGCAAGACAGTTGCTGAAGTTGCGCCTGACGAAGGCGAAGGTGTTGATCTTACTGGAGATCAAGGTTGGACTGAGCCAGAGTCTGAGGCTCATGTGAGCTCGGTGATGCGGCAACTCAACGAGATCGTTGATGAGGTTCGACGGGATTGGATTCCGCCGGCCCAGGATGAGTTTGTTATGACCCGAGAGGCAAGTGTCAAAGTTCGGATGGCCGAATTGGAGCATAGGATCGCGAGTGATCTCGGTGAGATGCTGGGGAAGGATCTGCCAGGATCGGTGAACTTACTGAGAGGATCTCAGGTGAATGGAGTGAGTAGCCTGAACAACGATCAAATGGCCAACTGGTGGCTCATTGATTCTGGTGCTTCGGTGACAGTGATTGCCAAGAAGTTTCTCGATGACTTCACGGTGATGTCGAGGATGCCTTTGTGCCCAAGCGAGAGGTATTCAGCGGCAAATGATACGCCTGTCACGGTGTTTGAAAGGGTGAGAGTGAAAGTAAAAATGCCTCTGTATGAAGGGGATTCGTATATTGGAATGGTCCCTGTGATGGTGACTGGAGTTGTAGCTGACGTTGGTCACAACATCTTGAGCACTGAGCACATGGTTGCTACCGGCTGGGAAGTGAAGTTTTCAAAGGCGGAGATTTCGCTTCGTCGGGTGAAAGGAGGATTGGTTGGATATGGACAGTCCTGGGCTGGATGCCCATGGATTTATCTGCAAGGTGCAGACACGTCAACCAAGAAAGTGACCTTTGGAAGGACACATGTTAAGATGGATGTCGACCAAGAGGATTCGTCAAGTCCCATGGAAGTTGGGAACGTGTCGGCTATGACGGTGAAGATGAAAGAGGAACTCGAAGTTCATCGGATGCGAGGACATATCCCTTTCATGCCTGGTTGTCCCCATTGTCAAAAGACAAGAGGTGTGACGCAACATCGGAGAGGCAAAGATGTGGGTAATCGCCCTGTGGAGCTGCAAGCAGACTTTTGTTACATCAACTTGGTTACTGGTACCTTTGTCAAGGACCAGCCCAACGCACCCAACATGAAGATTTTGGTGATGACTGAGATGTCTACCAGAATGGTTGGTTGTGCCCTTGTCGGGACAAGTGCGGATCACACATCGACTTGGATTCGGTACTGGATGAATGCTTTTGGGTTGACTACTGCCGGATCTGCGGTGTTACTTCGGACTGATAGTGAAACAGCTGTCAGCGCGTTGATTCGCCGGGCGAATCTTGGGATTCGGGTTGTGACTCAGAAAGCGCCACCGCAAGGACATGAATCTGTTGGTGGAGTTGAAAGAGCAGTTCGGACTTTGAAAGAGCTGTTCAGCACGATCAGGCTTGACCTGAGAGCCCAAGGGTATGATCTGAAGCGCAGTCCACGTGCGTTTGAACTAGGTTTGGTCTACTGTGCTGCCATGCACAATCATCATTCGGCTGCGTTTGATGGAAAGAAGTCTCCTCAGGAGTTGGTTTTGCAGAGACCACTGGCGGAGTGTGCATCCACGTTGATCGGGATGACGGTACTTGCGGAATTACCGGATAGTATGAAGAAGACTTCTTTGTCGAGATTTGTGGAAGCAGCTTACTTGTATCCAGAAGTTGGTGGCTTGACCCATGTGGTGAGTTCTATGGTGAATGGGACACCACATCACTATCGGGCGAAGTCGATAAAGCATATCACTCCTCTGAAGGTTGGAATGGAGCATTGTGGACATTTGCTCAAGGCCTATGATCCTAGCGATACATTGGCACCTCCCATCTTGAAAGAGTTGGATGATGGGATACCTTCTGAAGTTGAGGGTGAAGTCGACAAAGCGTTTGAAGGAAAGGTGTCACAAGGACCTACCACAGACATGAGTCAGGTAGGACCACCTGCGGCATGGGTACGAGAGCATGGAGGAACACCTGGATGTCCAGCGTGTGGTGAGAAGCGTGGAAAAGCCAATCACAATGCTGCCTGCAAACGGCGGTATGATAAGTGGTTGAAGGACCAACGTGAGAGGTTGGTTGTTGAAGGGGAGCAAGAGACGGTTGGAGGTGAACCTGGATCTAGTTCAGGATCGACCGCGGCTCCGAAGGTTTCTTCAGAAGCGAGAAGCTCTGAGGATGCGGGGGTGCCTCTTGCCAGTGCACCTTCGTTGAAGCGTCCAAAGACCAGTCATGAGACTACCGGCCTGGAAGGCGAAGAGCCCTCAGCGGCGTCCAAGCCAGATGTGATTGATGTGGAGATGTTTGAGGACCCAAGTATTCCTTATGAAAACATTCCAGATGAGGAGATGCCTCCGGGATACTTTGAAGATGAACAGCCTATGGAGATTGATAAGGGAGTAGCTGAAGAGGCTGCGGCAATGAACGTCGAGTCTGAAAGCTCCCCAAGCGAGCCTAGTAGGGTTCCAAGGCTGTTGCAGTCACTTCATCCAAGATTGGATGCCCCAGAAGGTTTTACCAGTGCTTGTGAGGAAGCAGGTGTGCCGAAGTTAGCCAAAGTAGTGAATGCTGTTCTGATTGAAAAGAACACTGTGTATCCCGAGCAAGTCCAGATGTGTGGATCGAAAGTTTGGTTGGCCAAGATGAAGAGTGCGTTGTCTGAGCTGGATGGGTGTCCATTGGACGTATCGTCAGCTATGGAGGGTCGACGTACTGAACTTGGTAGTATGAATTCACATAAAGCGGGAAGGATTGTGTCTGCTGATGAGGCACATGCGTTTGCCAAGAAGCATGGGATAAGGATCATCCCTACACGATGGGTACTTGGACCCAAGGTTGTGAACGGGAAAGAGGCAGTGCGCGCCCGGTGTGTGGTACAAGATGTGGCTAAGGGTAGTACGGCTTCATCGCTAGGTCTGAGTGCGACCACGCCGTCGTTGGAAGCTTTGCGAACTCTCTTGGCCATTGCTGCCAAAGATTCGATGGATATTGCTACCCTGGATGTCTCGACTGCATTCTTGCATTCCCCCTTGCCGAAAGGCGAAAAAGCAGTGATTATGTTGCCGCGGGATGTGAGTTCAAGATCTGACTATTACGCCCCGGTGTATATGATCCTTGATCAGGCGATGAACGGATTGAGAGTAGCCGCCAAGGCATGGAACTTGAAGTTGGCGAATGTTGTGAAGAAGGTTGGGTTGAACCAGTGCCCTACGGAACCTTCGGTGTTTGAAGGAACTGTGAAAGGAAAACGGTTTCTTATGCTGTGCTATGTGGATGACCTGATCTTGTGTGGAAGCTCAGAAGCCATTAAGTTGGTCACGGATACTTTGAATCGTGAGCTCAAGATCAAGGAAACGGGTCGCATCACTCCGACTGGAGGAAGAATTGTCTTCTTGGGAAGAGAGATTGAGAGGAATGGTGAGCATCTACGGATGAGAGTTCCACCGAAGTACATGGAAAGTTTGTTTGAGACAGACTTTTGCAAGGACCTGAAGGTGGTGAATAGTCCTCCGGATCTTGTGAAGATCATTGAGAAGGGTCGCGCTGATCCTGAAAAGGATAGCGTGTTGTCGGAGGCTGCTGCGATGCGCTATCGAGCGGTTCTTGGAAGGATTGCTTGGTGGGGCCAGTCTCGTCCAGACTTGGCTCGTTGGATGTCGATTCTTTCCCAAGGTCAGTCGAAGCCTACGGCGTGTTTTGAGCATGCTTTGAGGCAAGTGATTCGTTTCTTGAAAGGCCAGTATTTGTGTTGGTCTTACTTTGGTCCTGGGAGTGAGGTCCCAGACGGAGGATCTGCCACGCTTGATGTGTATGCGGATGCGAGTTGGGCACCGCAAGCGTCTCTGGGAAGGAGATCAGTGTCAGGAATCGCCATCTTTTACCGCGGTTGTTTGATCAAAGGAATCTCGAGGGTTCAAGGGTGTGTATCCCTTAGCTCTTGTGAGGCTGAACTTAGAGCGATTTTAACCGCTGTTCAGGAAAGTGAAGGACTGGCAACGCTGATTGGACAATTGGCTGGGTCCAAAGTCGAGATTAGGTTGCACACTGATAGTTCGTCGGCACGGGCTGTGTTGCTGAATCGGGGTTTGAGTCGACGAGTTCGACATTTGGACATTGCTGTATGTTATCTTCAAGAGAGGATCCAAGAGGCACAAACCCTCAAGGTCCTTTGGTGTCCTACGTCAGCTATGGTGGCTGATATCATGACGAAGTGTTTGAGTTGGGAGATTTTCTTGAGACACCAACAAGCTTTAGGGATTTTTGAAGATGAGAATGTGCAGCAAGTTTGGAGGATTTGCGGAATTCGGTTCTCTCGCAGCGACTCTGGTTCAAGCGCCACGCAAGCTAGCCCATCTGTGGAAGTCGTACCTTTGTTGAAGGACGGCATGACGGGTTCAAAGGCGGATACCCAGAAGGGATCCGTGGAGGCACCATACTGGTGCAAGCAATGCAAATGGCTGTTTAAGACAGACCATTCCCATGGACTGGGATGGACGGATGAGTACAAGCCCAGGTGTGAGAAGTGCCAGGGCGTGATAAGTGTTTGGGGATCCAATGCCTCCCACGCCTTTCATCTCCGAGAGGGAGAGAAAGAGAAGCGGTTTCCGAAAGGCGGCAAAGGGGAAGGCAAGTCATCCCAGTGGGTGCATGGCGATGGTGGAAAAGGTGATGGCACCAATCTGGGTGAAAGCCCGATGGTGAAAGTTACGCCAAAGCCTGAAGGGCCACCGAGTGTGGCAACTATGTTTCCAGAGCTTAATGGGAGTGAGGTGCCAGCATGGTACACTGAGCTCTGGGGGAAGATGGGCATCCGAGGAGTCCCTCTTGATCAGGTGGATCTCCAACCTTTGTTGGAATCCTTGCCGGCTGAGGATCAGGAGTGGTATAAGAAGAGCTTTGAGAAGCTCAGCCACCCGAACTTTGCTGTGTTTGAGCATGGGGATCCGATGCCGGGTAAAGTGGTGACAGTCCTGGATATGAGATCGCAGACTGGTGGCAAGTCTGTCATCTGGGAGACAACTGTGAATGGAGGTTGCATCTACGTTGAAATGGGCCCGGGGTTGAGTGGTTTGGCAGTGCTCATGTTTGTGCAGTACCTGAAGAGGAAGGGGTTCTTGGTGCTTATCCTTTTGAGTGGGCATCAGGACCCAGGGATCTTGCGGATGATGGATCTGCTTTACACACTTCCCATCCTGGGAGTGGAGAGTTGCACAAAGGGTGATCTGGAAACCACCTCCCATCCTCCCTGGGTGTGCCGATGGAAAGAGCATGCTCAGAATGGCAACGTGGTGTTCAAGGCTGTGCTTTCCAAGGTGTGCTGGATGTCTGATTTGACATGCCAGACACTCAAGGCTTTCGACTCGTGAAGGACCTCGGGAAGCCGTTGCCTCTGTGGGCCTACTTTGCGTACACCAACAATGATGTGGTGAAGGAAAGTTTGATTGTGGAATGCGATCACATGGCTGTGCAGGTTCCCAATGGGGTGCTTGAGAGCCTCCGTGAGCCTATGATCTGGCAGTGTGACTGCGCGTGGCATATGGCCACGGACTACACAAGCAGGTTCACTACGAACCTCCCGTGCATCCTGTGGGAGCACATCTGGAAGTTTTTGGGTGGGAACACTCAGAAGCTGATGGATGTTGAGCTCGGTTTGGAACAGGCTGTGTTAGCAGCCGTGGCTTCGCATGACCTCGAGGTGGAAACTGAGAACAAGAGGAAGAGGCGTGCGGAGTTGGATGCAGCTGAGGAGGAAGCGGCTAAGAAGGCCAAAACGGAGCAACCAGCTCCAAGCTCACCTGCACCTCCGGTGCTTGATGGAGCCATGATTGCGCAGATCGCTGCAATGGTAACAGCGAGTCTGAGTGTTGGTGACTTGGAGAAGCTGCTGGATGAGAAGAGACGGGCATCTGCTTCTGGCAGTGCTCAGGGATCTGAGCATAGCGGTGCTCAGCAGGACCAGCAGATGGGCCAACGGGTTGCTGAGTTGGATCAGATGAGGGATGCGGCACAGGAGCGCCGATCCCAGCTGGTTGAGAAAGCCTCTGAGAAAGCTGATGAGGTGAAGGATGCAGCTGATCTGAAGTGAGGTGCAAATGGACCTCGGTTGGATGTAGCTGCCTGTAGGGTAGAAGCGCCATGGCCTTCGCCGCCATGGCCACGCCTCTTTGTTTCGCGACGCTGGGCGCTGTTCTGCAAGGGCCTGTCTTGAAGGAGAACTGAGGGGTTCTGAACGGCCTTAGCAGCTGTACGTGTCACTACGAACTCTTAGTCCTTTTGTAGGTCTGAGACCCTCCTGTACGAACGGTGCAGGTGTGCAAGAATCTTCGATCAAAGATCGCCTCTGTGTGTCTGTGTTGTTGTGAGTGGCGAGTACGCACCAAGGGAATGTGGCCTGGGCATCCCCCTAGTGCTGAAGTGCCACTGCCGGTGCTTTGTCGTTTCTGCAAAGATCTTTGAGGAAGCCCTCAGCAAAATGCGGGGGGTGTAAGATCGTCAGCGTCTGTAGTCGCTTGTAAAAGCACTTTCGCTTGTGAGTGTTTTGCTTCGGGAACGGTTTCAAGGTTTGGTTGGGAATCTTGATGATCCCAAGGTTTGATATGAAACCTTCCGGGTACATTTGAGAATCTTCGATCTCAAAGTGTACCTTAGTTGCTGTTGAGGACTCCTTGATGGATCCTCAGTGGTATGTTTATATCCCACAAGATTTACTTCGTAAGTCTCTGTGTGGTTAGAGCCCAATACGCTATAATTCGTTTGTTTGAATTCGTTTCCACACTTACGTGTGAAGTCTGACGCACTCCGTGAACTTTGGCTCAAGCTGAGTGAAAAAGACTTGCAGCTGTCCGCTGTGCCCGTAGGGACGTGTTTTCCGAGGAAAAAGGTCTAGGAGGGACCTTAAGTTTTTCACGGGATGGCCTTTCTGTTTGCAACGAGGCTTCAGCGGGCGCTTTGAAGGGGCTTGAAGGGAGCTTGAAGCGGAAGATGAAGAAGCGGTTTTGAAGCCTTCGAAAGTATGGGTGCTACATTGTGTTTTCTTGGCAAAACGCCAAAAGCGACCTGGTTTTTTTGATCCAAAAAAATTTGGAATGGTTTCGAATCCTCGGGAGGTAGCCATTCCAGTACCGGCTTGTCTTATTTTGTTTGATCAATCGCATGGCTGCACAGCGTTGTTGCTGTCATTGTCTCCAATCCTGCAGCAGCTCAGGCTGTCATGTTGGCTGCTAAAACAGTGAAAGATTCTGATTCTGACAACATCTGCTTGCAACTGTTTTTTTTGCGAAAACCTGCGTTCAGAAAGAGTGAAAAATCGGAAAACAAAATGGCTCTCGAATCAGCGCCCGTTTCTGAGCCTTCTAGTGTTGGCAAAATGCCGAAGACTCAGATGTTCGAATTTCGGTGCCGGGTAACCACTCTTGGTTGTTCTTGGAGTTGCAAAAGCTGGACACGGATCGAGAACCGTCTGTGCCACTTGTTCTTCCGAAGATGCTGGAAGTAAAGCACCCGGGTTATTGCTTGTCTTAAAACACACACTGCCTTTTCAACAGCAATTTGAAACTGCTGCATAAAGTCATACCAAGTGCAGTTGCAATTGGAAGGTCCAGTTTGAAGGCACTGTTTTTTGACCGGGTTTTGGGTTCAAAAGTGGTCCCGAAAATTTGCAGGCAAACCTAATTTTCTTGTTGTTTGCGACACTGGCAAGCCAGACGGTGCTTGCAGAGAAGCTGAAAGCACTCAAAAAAGCTTGAAGTCCAGTTTTAAGCAAAACCAGCAGGGAAAGAGAGAATAATGCTACTTTTCAGTCTCTTCGTTCCTTCAGCATTGAGAGACATCCAACTTTTTGTCGGGCACTTGTTGTTTTCATTAAACCAGAACGTGTCACGTGGTTTTGGGTTCGAAAAATTTGGGATGGTTTTGGAGTCCGTGGGGTTGCGCCATTCCAGCGCCTCCGCGATCAGAACCCGCACCATTGTAGCCTCGCCCTCCGTCTCATCATGAATTACAATGTAGCCAAAGCACTCTAAGACGAATCGTCCAATGGGTTCAAAATCATTCAATTTTAGGTTCACCGCCGGATGCCGTTCCTTTGGCCTTGCCGCTGTTTTGGAAAAAATCCATCTCCCTTCATTCCAACTTTTTTGAAGCCTTAGATGCGCAGCCGCAGCTGCTGCTCAAGCGAAACTCGGCCCTGATTTTTTTTGCGTGGGCGGGTCCAAAGAGCCGTTGCTGCACTCGGTCCCAGTAAGAACTAAAGAATGGCAATAACGCTAGCATCGGTTCGATGCGGAAGTTACGCACGCTTCTGAGAGTGGGAGCCACTAGTTACCCTCTCCTGATGTGAGAAAGCTGCACACGGCTTCTGAGCGTTGAACCGTGCAGTTTGAGCCAACAGTTGCTGTAATCACCCTCTCTGCTACATGCTGTCTGCGTGTTGCAAGCGAAAGCTTCAGGCTTGTCTCTTTGCGCTGCTGCACAAACTGTGGGACTCTGGTGAGCACCTCAAAGGAAGTTTCTCACTTCGTGGATGATCTTGGGGCCTGAATCTGAGTGGTAGAATTGCAGTCCCTGCTGGGTACAACCGGGATGTACAAGCAAGTGTCTCCAGTTTAGGATGCAGATTGCGGGGAGGGCAAGGAAACCCTCACAGGAGGCGCGGTGGGAAACGTGGGCGCTTTGCGAGCATCCACTGCTGTGACTTCAAGGATAGTTTGGCAAACCGGGCGGCAAGGGCGTGAGTCCAGGAAGCAAGATCACAGGAGAATGCCATCCCGCCGACCAAGAAAGAGACCAAGCGAGGCAGATCACAGCAGAGGCGGAGATGGTTGAAAACAAAGGCGAAGAGATCAGCTTTGCAAGGGGAAGCCAGTCATCGCGAAGGATAAGAGGCTTGCTGCCCACACAGCGAAAGGTGATATGTCGCTGCCGTGCTGCCCGAAGCATTATAGGCGAATTCATTGAAATTCAGGACACACGGTGGAAGTCCCAGATGGCATGAAACCACTGGCCAACGAGCGCCGGGAAGTTTGAGCGCCAAACCGTGTAAGCAAGGCCAGAACCCAGCCTCATGGCGGGCCACGGCACACATTTTGGAAATTGCACGGATGTGGGCGTATGGCAGAGTTGCGCACGCAGCATCGTGTGGCGGTCTCATGATTGCATTCTCCCTGTGTTCGTTTTTTTTGGCGTGGGCGGCCTCGTGGACAGTTGCTCGGTCCCAGGAAGAACAACAACAAAGCAAAATGAACGAAAAGAGTGAACTAATGCCGGAACAAAGTGAGACATGAGCTGCGACATGCAGACTTGGCCGGCGAAAGTTGTTCAGCATGAATTAAGTGCAGGCAAATTGGAAGACAAGCTATTGAACTAGAAGACAATTGGCCTGAAAGCATCATCAGCGAAGAGTGTTGCGCTACGTCATAGAATCCAGTGTTTAGGGTCATGGAGTCACTGAGTCAAAAGCGCAAAGTCACAGAGTCGGAGTGTCACATACAGTCAAGAGTCGTACAAGTCATAGTTCATAGAGTCATAGAGTCATGGAGACATAGAGTCGAGTACATGTCAAGCACAAGTCATAGTTCAAAGAGTCATCGAGTCATATAGAGTTGTAGAGTCACAGTGAGACAGAATCATAGAGTCATAGTGTTATAGAGTCATAGCGCCAAAGTGAGAAAGAGTCATGGAGTCATGGAGTCATCTATGTACCACGCACTTGACTCGATGTAGTTCACTCTATGAACACTAATGTTCAGGTTTAGCGGGTTTAGGGTGCAGTCCAACATGACGCAGAAGTCTTCCTTTCCTAGCTCCGGAATCTCACTATATAGATATCCCTGACTACTGTGGTTTCAACGTGACTCTATGACTCTATGCATGGTCACTTTATGTCGCAGCAGTAGTAGTAGTAGTAGTAGTAGTGGTAGTACTAGCAGTACCAGTACTAGTAGTAGTGATAGTAGTGGTAGTCGTAGTAGTTGTAGTAGTAGTCGTCGTCGTAGTCGCAGTCGCAGTCGCTGTCGCAGTCGCAGTCGCAGTAGCAGTAGTAGTAGTAGTAGTAATAGTAGTAGTAGTAGTAGTAGTAGTAGTAGTAGTAGTAGTAGTAATAGTAGTAGTAGTAGTAGTAGTAGTTGTAGTTGTTGTTGTGGTACTAGTAGTAGTAGTAATAATAGTAGTAGTAGTAGCATTAGCAGTAGTAGTGGTAGTAGTAGTGGTAGTAGTAGTAGTAGTAGTAGTAGTATTCTATAGTAGTAGTCGTAGTAGTAGCAGTAGTAGTAGAAATAATAGTTGTAGTAGTGGTAGTGGTAGTAGTACTAGTACTAGTTCGAACACTCGACAACGCCAATCTCTGTGAAGGGTTGCAAGTTTCACTTTAATGCACATCAAAAGTAATAACTTTACCTCGCGTTCGTGCGTTTGACCACGCCAATCCTTGTGAAGGGCTGCAAAATTCATCTCAATGCACATAAAAAAATGCAACTTTACCTCGCGCTCGTGCGTTCGACCACGCCAATCCCTGTGAAGGGTTGCAAAATTCATTTCAATGCACATCAAAAAATGCAACTTTACCTCGCGTTCGTGCGTTCGACCACGCCAATCCCTGTGAAGGGTTGCAAAATTCATTTCAATGCACATCAAAAAATGCAACTTTACCTCGCGTTCGTGCGTTCGACCACGCCAATCCCTGTGAAGGGTTGCAAAATTCATTTCAATGCACATCAAAAAATGCAACTTTACCTCGCGTTCGTGCGTTCGACCACGCCAATCCCTGTGAAGGGTTGCAAAATTCATTTCAATGCACATCAAAAAATGCAACTTTACCTCGTGTTCGTGCATTCTGTGAAGGGTTGCAAAATGCCAATCCTTGTGAAGGGTTGCAAAATGCACTTCAATGCACCCAAACCCTGTGAAGGGTTGCGCGGCGCACGCAAAATGTGTAACTTTACTTACCGTTTGAATGCCCGAGGAGGCGAATCCTTGTGAAGGGTTCCGCGGCGCGCGCAACATGTGTCACTTTACCTAGCGTTTGGGCGCTCGAGGTGGCCAATTCCTGTGAAGGGTTGGGGCGCGCGCTTAAAATGTGTCACTTAACTA